ATTTACTTTGTTTTCCAAATTAATCATATTACACATAGTTAATAATCATCAAGTTGACTGACCATTGTTCCCTTCGTGCACTGCTTGGTTCTATACACTTATTTGTTGCTTTTTAAAAATCAGTTTTAAATCTTAGTTTTCTAGTTATTTAAACTTTCGAACATGTATTTTTATGCATTTATCTGCAGAAAATGAGATTAATAGGCAAGAAGAAGACACTTATTTTACATAATGGCATCAAACTGTACTTATTCTAATCTGCTTTTAAAAAATAAACAGTTTATCTTGGCATGGGGAAATAAAGTACAGCATAGGAAATGTCAATAATGTTGTAATAACTGTATGGTGCCAGGTGAGTACTGGAAATACAGGAGGAACACTTTGTAAAGTATATGATTGTCTAACTACTATGCTGTACATCTGAAACTAATCTATATTTTAAAAAAGCCTAAGCAACTGTTACAGCAGAACGACCAGTCGCTATGATGCGCACTGACCAACAGGGGGCAGACACTCAATGCAGGAGCTGCCCCCTGGTGGTCAGTGCGCTCCCACAGGGGGAGCACTGCTCAGCCAGAAGTCGGGCTTATGGCTGGCGAACGCAGTGGCAGTGGCAGGAGCCTCTCCCGCCTCTGTGGCAGTGCTAAGGAGCAGTGAGCCTAGCGGTAAGGAGCGAGGGGTCCTGGACTGCAAGAGGGATGTCCGCTGAGTGGTCCCAGACTGCAAGAGGGTGCAGACTGGGCTGAGGACACACACACACACACACACACACACACGTGCACAAATTTCATGCGCCAGGCCTCTAGTCTATATCCTATATAATAAAAGGGCAATATGCAAACTGACCCTAACAGCAGAAAGACTGGGAATGACTGGTCACTATGACACACACTGACCACCAGGGGGCAGATGCTCAATGCAGGAGCTGCCCCCTGTTGGTCAGTGCACTCCCACAGGGGGAGCTCTGTTCCGCCATAAGCCAGGCTGACGGCTGCCAGTACAGCGGTGGTGGTGGGAGCCACTCTCCTCAGCAGCGCTAAGGATGTCCGACTGCAGCTTAGGCCTGCTCCCCGCTGGCAAGTGGACATCCCCCGAGGGCTGCCGGGCTGCCAGAGGGATGTCTGATTGCCAGCTTAGGCCCAATCCCCTGGGTAGCGGGCTTAAGCCAGCAGGTGGTCATCCCCTGAGGGGTCCCAGACTGCGAGAGGGCACAGGCCGGGCTGAGGGGGACCCCCCCCCCAGTGTACAAATTTTTGTGCACTGGGCCTCTAGTATGTATATAAAAGCCTAAGCGACTGGAACAACTGGTCGCTATGATGTGCACTGACCACCAGGGGGCAGACGCTCAATGTAGGAGCTGCCCCCTGGTGGTCATTGCGCTCCCAAGCCAACCACCCGCAGTCCCTCTCCCCGGCCAGCAGGCCCTAATCGGCCCTCCACCCACCCGCAGCGGTGGCGGCCAGGGAAGGAGGAGGGGAATACAACACAATGTCAGGGTGCGTCCAGTCCTTCCACACCCAGCCTGGCGACCGTCGCCTCCTCACCAGCTAGGCCTAGGGACCCCACCTGTGCACGAATTTCATGCACTGGGCCTCTAGTACAAAATAATGTTGAGCCTGGCCAGAGTCACTCCGTTGGTTGAGCTTTGTCCTGTGCACTGAAAGGTTGCTGGTTCAATCTGTCAGGGCTCAAAACCAATTGATGTTTCTCTCCTGCATCAATGTCTCTCTCTCTCTCCCTCTCTCTCACAGCAAGTCCTCGGATGAGGGTTTAATAATAATAATATTTGAATGTAAACTGTAATTGATAGATAAGATTTTTTAAAAGTTTATCTTGGTATTTCCATGACATTACAAATAGATTAAACTTTTTCCTTTTCATTATCCCATAATCCTATATAATTAAAGGGTAATATGCAAATTGACCCCAACGGTGGAATGACCGGTTGCTATGACGCACACTGACCACCAGGGGGCAGACGCTCAACACAGGAGCTGCCCCCGGTGGTCAGGGCACTCCCACAGGGGGAGCTCCACTCAGCCACAAGCTGGGCTGACGGCTGCAACCACAGCAGTGGTGGCGGGAACCTCTCCCACCTCCGCAGTAGTGGTAAGGGTGTCCAACTGCGGCTTAGGCTTGCTCCCCTGGGGAGCGGGGCTAAGCTGTCAGTCAGACATCTCCTGAGGGCTTTGTCTGACTGCCATCTTAGGCCTGATCCCCCAGGGAGTGGGCCAAGCCGGCAGGTGTACATCCCCTGAGGGGTCCTGGACTGCGAGAGGGTGCAGGCTGGGCTGAGGGACCGCCCCCCCCCCCCCAGTGCACTAATTTTCGTGCACCGGGCCTCTAGTATTTTATAAGTATAGATACACTGTTTTTATTTAGCTCATTCCTTAATTGGTGAACCTGTAAGGGTATTTTCAGTTTTTTCTTTGTATACATCCTGTATAATAGAAGGGTAATATGCAGAATTGACCCTAAGGGTGGAATGACCAGAATGACCACTCGACCAGTCACTATGAGGCACACTGACCACCTTTCGGTCCCTTTTCCTGGCTGGCAGGCTCCCATCGCCCGATGGCGAATGGGACCCGGGGCTGGGTAGCAGGAGACACAGGCGGTGCCAGGCCAAGGCCCCCGCCCCGCCTGTTGCCTCACAGAGAGCGACCTGTGGCGGGAACAGCCAACCTCTCCGTCCCTCCCGCAGGCTCCAGGCTCCAATCGCCCGATGGTGAGCTGGAAACCGGGGGGCGGGAGGTGGGGCCGGCTGCGGGCAGCTAGGGAAGATGATCGCAGGCCAGGCCTAGGGACCATACCCACGCATGAATTTCATGCACCAGGCCTCTAGTATTACAATAAAGAGCCTATACACAGGATGCTGGGTTTCTCTAAAGTAGATACCTGGAAGAATTGCTACCCTCCTGATGGATGATTCTGCTGCTGTCTTCCAAAACTAGTGTGTCGTTTATTTGGTATCACCCACTTCCCCCTCTCCAACACTCATACTTAGCAAATTTGAGTACTTTAAATTTGCATTTTACTGCTTACCGTGGAGATGGAGCATTTTTTCACAGGTCCATTTGTTTTTGCAGCTATTTTTCCAGAGTGGTGTTCTTACATTTGGTATTTTAACCTACAGTTTATTTTGAGAGTGATATCAGACATCCAACATTTTTTCCAAGTAAATATCCAATGTAAAAAAGAAAAAGGAAAAAATATATAAACAGTAGACTTATTTGTAGCTGTTGCTGTAATATTTAAATTGCTACTTAAATAATCCAAGCAAATTAGCTGAAAAACTATTAGAACAGTTCTGCAAAGATGTTGGGATACAAGATTAACTGAATGAATTTAGGCTTTTCTTTAAAACATCAGCAATAGCCTTTCCAAAAATATAATAGGGAAACGGATCCCATTCATAATAGAAACTATACTGAAAAATAGACCTAACAATAAATGTGTAATAACAAAAAGGGGATTGCCCAACCATTGAGCAAAACATGTTTATCAGGCTATTATAATTTTAAAAATGGGCTATATTGGTCAGGTACAAACAGGGTTGATGGAACAATATAATCTGGATATCCATGTTACAATATGGTATATGAAAAGGTAACATTTCAAATCAGAAATAGGATGGGATTTTCAGTGTTCAAGGATACTAGATTCAAAACTAATTACATTGTAGGCCCTAGGTTCACCTGGAATTTCTATTTGTTACCAAAATATTATAAATTATAAAAGAGTAATGTTATATGTAATACTCTGAGAGCACAATGATATCTCAGTCAGGCCTTTGTTCACAAGCTGTCTGCTGCCTAGACATTCAGCCCACTGCTTCTCGACCACTTGCTTTTTGCCTTATTCATATTTCCAGAACTCAGCCCAGTTATGGAATAGACGTTCAAATGTTCAAACAGATTTTTGCCACCCCAAACTTAGATCTCTATAGGTCAGTGGTCGGCAAACTCATTAGTCAACAGAACCAAATATCAGCAGTACAACGATTGAAATTTCTTTTGAGGGCCAAATTTTTTAAACATTGTTATTAACTTAATTAGGGTACTCCTAAGGCTTAGGAAGAGCCACACTCAAGGGGCCAAAGAGCCACATGTGGCTCGCGAGCCACAGTTTGCCGACCACGGCTATAGGTAATTTGTGGGTTAAGTCCAAATTTCCTCATATTTCAAATATTTTTAGCTTCTAGCTAAGAATTAAGATTTGCACCCTAACTGGTTTGGCTCAGTGGATAGAGCTTCGGCCTGCGGACTAAAGGGTCCCAGGTTCGATTCTAGTCAAGGGCATGTACCCTGGTTGTGGACACATCCCCAGTGGGGGGTGTGCGGAGGCAGCTGATCCATGTTTCTCTCTCATCGATGTTTCTAAACTCCCTCTCCCTTCCTCTCTGTAAAAAAATCAATAAAATATATTTTTAAGAATTAAGAATTTGCTCTTAATTTCTTTTTTTTTTTTTAATATTTTTTATTTGATTTTTTTACAGGTTACAGGAAGGAAGGTAGAGGGATAGAGAGTTAGAAACATCGATGAGAGAGAAACATCGATCAGCTGCCTCCTGCACATCTCCCACTGAGGATGTGCCCGCAACCCAGGTACATGCCCTTGACTGGAATCGAACCTGGGACCCTTCAGTCCGCAGGCCAACGCTCTATCCACTGAGCCAAACCGGTTTTGGCTGCTCTTAATTCTTGTTGATAATACTCTTTCTTTGTTAGTGATAGGGAGCCTTCCCCCTCCCCCTTTAACCCTTGTATAAATGCTGGATTTTATTTACTATATTAAGAAGTCTGGAGAAACTGTTGCTACCCAAAGGGCTTCTATGATGTCACTTTGCATGGTTGCCTAGCTACTGCTAGTTAAGTAAACATTCTAGATATTTTGCTCTGAAAATTTTCCAGATAGCAAAGTTAGCACTTGAAATTCTTGGTCTAGCTTTTCTAGCATTTTGTCCTTTTTTTGTATTTTTTGTTTGTTTTTTAGGAGAATGATTACAAAGCAGTATGAACAGAAGAAAATAATGACTGATGAATTTTTAAGTGTCTACTTTATTATTATAAAATGACATAGTACTGTGTTTTAATTTTAGAGAATGCAGCACAGCTCTCAGCAGTAGTGGCTAAGTTTTAACTGGAGCCAGCATGCTTTGCCATGGCAGTATGGAATAGTGGAAGGGAGTGTGGGCTATTGAGCCTGCCTACCTAGGTTTAAATCCTGAGGCTGCCACTTAAGCTGTAGAATCCTTGAGCAGGTAGCAGTCTCTGAGTGTTTCCTCATCTTTAAAATGGGAACAATAATTCTTTTGTGAAAATGTTGGTTTAAAATAAGACAATGTATATACGATGTTTAATGCAGTGTTTACCACTTACCAGGCCCTCAAATTCTTGGTAGTAATGCTACATTGCCTCCATTAGAAATGGTACTTTAAATATCTCCCTCTGTGCTTAGCCAGTGTTCTAACGGGTGATTTCTGCTTTACTCCATCATTACCTGGAACAAGTCATTTATCCTCTCTGTACAGCAAGGATGTTACTGTTTTTTAAGGTGAGGATGACATGTTATCTCCAAGTTTCTTTCTTGCTCTAAAATGTGTGGCTTATTTTCTTGACCCTCCCCTTAAGGCTAGAATTAAAGTATTAGCCAGGAATTTCTTAGAGAAAAGGATAATGAGGATATGCTGTTTTCCTAATAGTCACATAAAAAATAATACTGGTATTAATAAAATCCTTCTTTGAAGCAATGCTGTTAAAGTACAAATTACTGAAAACGAGCCCTTTTTATTTAGCAACCACCATATTTTATAAAATTTAAGATTTCTCAAAAAATTATAAATTTTTACCACTCTTCTGTTAAATTAGATTATTGGTAGCCTATATGCAGAAGGGATAAAACATATAGATGTGAACATTTACATAAGAAGTGAGCAAGCTTTACCTTTTTCATTCTCATGAAAGCTACTTCATGTCCTTGGATTTATCGTGTTGTCATTCATTCAGCAAATATTTTATGTCTACCAGAATCAAGTAGATGTAGTATATATATGAAGATGATGAAGGCCAAGGATCTCTTTCAAGTTCAGTTTAGGTCCTAACGAACAGCATCTGTATTTTTAAATCTTTCAGAATAGTTGCCTTAAAGGAAAAAAAAAAAGTCCGTATTTCGACTTAATTGTCCCGGAGGCGATCATCTTTTCTCATATGTTCAGAAACTTGATGCTGTTCCACAGTGTGGTGGCTAGAAAATTCCTGTTTAGCAGCGAGAGAGAGAGAGAGAGAGAGAGAGAGAGTCCTTAAACTTGTAACACCAAGGACATATTAAATAATGGTGAAAAACATGTCTTAATATGGCTTTGTTATATTTTCAGGAAACTACTAAACTTCCTGTGCAAGCGAAGTAGAATTTCATAAGAACATAATGGGTAAGTTTCATAAGAAAATAACGGGTATTTTAACTAGTAGAAGCTGGTTTTCCCACTCAAAGATAGGCCTTCAATGTCAGTGAATGCAAATGCAAGTTAGAAAGTGGTCAAAGTAGACCACAAGTAGTTGTTTAATTCAACAACCTATGTTTACTGTACAATCTTGAAAGACAGATCAGTACCATTATTGTACCCAATAAAATTTGTGATTCCTAGTGAGTACTTTACCTTATGATATTAGAAACTTTTCCAGCAGACATATAAAATGGTTTAGCTTACAAAAAAATACTAGAAGTATAAATTTAAATAACTGATAATTATTTGTATTTTTCTCAGAAATTGGCAAAACTGCTGAGAACCTGTATGCTTGGCTAGTTCATAACTTAGAAGTTACTTGCATCTTTACGAGTCCCCCAGCCTTTTGTTATGAAAAATTGTAAGAATAATGCACCACCTGGCCTTTACCAGTTGTTAATGTTTTGCCACATTCGCTTTCGCTCTGTGTGTGTGGGGGGGGGTGTTTATATATACTTATATACATGAGTATATACACACATAAACATAAAAAATGCTTTTTTTATCTATCATTTAAGATTTAGTTGTACACACCTAAATACATCAGCATGTGTTCGCTTCATATTCAAAGTTTTTCAGTTGTTTCAATAGTGTTCTTTATAACAGGTTTATTATTTTAAATCCAGGATCTAATTAGGAATCATTTATTGCATTAATTTGTCTCTTTAGTCTCCTTTTTAATTTTTTAATACATATATGTTTTTATTGTTGATAGTATTACAGATGTCTCCTGTTTCACTCCCTTTAGCCCCCTCCCCCCTAGTCTCCTTTAAACAGTTCCCTACCTGGCTGTCCTGGGGTGAGGAGTGAAGTCTTCCATGGCACTTTTAAATTTAGATTTGTCTCAGTGTTTTCTCCTATTACATTCAGAGTAAACATTTTGGGCAGCAGTAGCACATAAATGATTTTGATATTAATGTTAATTTTAGGGATTTCTAAATTAACTATTAAGAAATAAATGAGTGGCCCTGGCTGGTGTGTTCAGTGGTTACAGCATTGGCCCTCTCATCAAAAGGTTGCAGGTTCAATCTCCAGCCGGGGCCGGGTGTGTTCAGGAGGCAACCAATCAATGTGTCTTACATCGATGCTTCTCTCTCTCTCTCTCTCTCTCTCTCTCTCTCTCTCTCTCTCTCTTTTCCTCTTTCTCCTTTTCTCACCCCCTCCCCTCCTTCCTTCTACTCTCTAAGAAAAAATATCCTCACCTGAGGGAAAAAAAGAAGAAAAGAAATAAATGAATAAATGTGTGTTAGTACCTGAACATTACTTCAACCTCATCCTATGTACTTCTCTCTAGGGCTCCCTAAATTTTTAGAAAAAGCCCTAAGAAACTTTCAGATATTGGTAACCATAAAAATTAAAATTCTGTCAGTATAATATTGTGAGAGTTATATATGTGAGAAAGATCTTAAAGGAATATATAAATATATATACTTCCCAGAAAGTTATATTGAGCTAGCCACTGTGCTGAAGCCAGTATGCCATCAGTGAGGTTAGATGGTAGCAAGTGACATCTACACAGTCCTGTCTCCTCACCTCTGCTTTCAGTGTTTAAAGACTGAATTTGTCTGTATTCATTACTTTCATTGTGTAATAATTTAAACTGAGCAGTAAAATATTTTGATAATTATTTTTGTGGATCAAGAATAAAATCCTAAGTAAAAGAAGCCCTAACATTTAACATTTGGGCTTGTCAGAAGTTGAGCTCACATGGCATATAAACAATCATTCATTCATTAACACATTATGCATTTTATTTTTAAAATAAGTATTTCAGGTGATAGAATTAAAGTTTTACCTTTTTTTAAATTGATTTTTTAGAAATAGAGGAAGGGAGGTGGGGGAAAGAGAAACATCAATGTGAGAGCACATCTATCGGCTGCCTCCTACATGGCCCTACTGGGGATGGAGTCTCTAGTGCATGGGACGATGCACAACCAACTGAGCCACACCAGCCAGGGCTAAAATTTTACTATATGAATATTTTGTTTTAGTCTTCAAATTTGAATTTGCTGCTGTGGTCACAAAAATATTATTAATACTTCCTTGAAAAATAGTGGTAAATTTTCACCCAAAGTAACATCCTTGAATGTAGAGTTATTGTGACATTGGAAAATGTGTAGAGAGTAATAAACAAGAAGCTTAAAATCTTTAAAATCTTGGTAGCTATTACCCACGAGAAATCTTTCTGGTCTGAGTTTCTCAAATATTAACCTTGGTAAACCTGTTTATTGTTCTTAAATTTTGTGATTCAAAAGTCATTTTACTACTTTATTTAGATGGAGAAGAGAAAACCTATGGTGGCTGTGAAGGCCCTGATGCCATGTATGTCAAATTGATATCTTCAGATGGTCATGAGTTTATTGTAAAAAGAGAACATGCATTAACATCAGGAACAATAAAAGCCATGTTGAGTGGCCCAGGTAGGAACATTTCCTTTATTTTCTCTTCATATATCTTCACTTTTAATGTTTGATGAATGTTTTAAGTTGAGCGAAATGACTCATAACATTTAAGAGACAGTAACTATTTGAACATCGCATAATTGAATGTTGCATTGGGGGGAAATTGGTTTCTGCCATACCCTGTTTTTAGGTATTTACCCTAGTTTCAATAAGAGCCAGTTGGTTACTTTGAAATAAGAAGGATCATTTTCCTAGGTTAGTTTCCATGGTCAGCTTCTTCTACACAGGCCTCTGGTGATTTGTGCTCCTGGTTTCATTTGTGCTCCTGCTTCTAAAGTTTAATTATAGAAGTTACCACCTCCCAAATATCTATCCTTCACATTTTCTCTGAGTAATTTTTCTTGAGGATTGGAATTTCTGGAACATATGGTGGCTTCTATGTTTAACTTTTGGAGGAAATGCCAAACTTTGCACAGTGGCTGAACCGTTTTACATTCCTACCAGCAGTGTATGAGGGTTCCTTATGTGGTTTTCTCCACATCCTCACTGACACTTCATTTGCACTTTTTTTTATTCTAGCCATCCAAATGGGTACCAGTAGTGTGTCATTGTGGTTTTGATTAGCATTTCCCTAGTGACTAATGATGTTGACTATCTCTTCATGTGCTTGCTGGCTATTTGTGTATCCTCTGGAGAAATGTCTCTTTAAGTCCGTTGCCGGCTTTTTAATTGGGTTGTTTGTCTTTTCTGTTGTTGAGTTGTAAGAGTTCTTTATAAATTTTGGACACTAGATTCTTACCAGATACATGATTTAATATTTTCTCCCATTCTGTAGGTTGTCTTTTTCTTAGTATCTTTTATTCTTTTCTTTAGAAAAAAAAATACATGTTTTTTTAGAAATGCTTTTTTAAAAAATATATATTTTTTATTGATTTCAGAGAGGAAGGGAGAGAGAGATAGAAACATAATGATGAGACTCATTGATTGGCTGACTCCTGCATGCGCGCCACCACCACCACCACCAGGGTACGAGCCTGCATTTCGGGCATGTGCCCCTGACCGGAATCGAACCCAGGACCCTCCAGTCCACAGGCCGATGCTCTATCCACTGAGCCAAACCAGCTAGGGCTTTAAATATATTTTTGTTGATTTCAGAGAGGGAGAGAGATACAGAATCATCAATGATGATAGAGAATCATTGATCAGTTACTGCCTCCTGCACGCCCCACACTGGGGATCTAGCCCGCAACCCAGGCATGTGCCCTGACTGGGAATGGAACCGTGACCTCCTGGTTCATAGATCGATGCTCAACCACTGAGCCACGCCAGCCAGTCCTTAGTAGTATCTTTTGATGGACAAAAGTTTTTATGTTGATGAAGCCAAATTTATCTCTTATCCCATTGCTGTTTTTGGAGGCCTGTCTAAAAATCCATTGTCAAATCCAATGTCATGAAGATTTACCCCTATGTTTTCTTATAAGAGGGCTATGGTTTTAGCTCTTGTAATTAGGTTTTTTATTTTAAGTTAACTTTTGTGCATGACATGAGGTAATAATTTATCTTTCGCATGTGGACATACCCGTACCATTTGTTGAAGAGTCTATTCTTTTTTAAATATTTTTTTTATTGATTTTAGAGAGGAAGGAAGAGGGAGAGAAAAAAACATCAATGATGAGAGAGAATAATTGATCGGCTGCCTCTATCCACTGAGCCAAACCGGCTAGGGCAAGAGAGACTATTCTTTACCCCATTGAATGGTCTTGGCACCCTTGTTGAGAATCAGTTGATCACAGATGTGCGGGTTTATTTCTGGGCTCTTAATTCTTTTCCATTGTGCTATGTATCTGTCCTTATCTCAGTACCAAACTGTTTCATGGGGAGTTTGGGGGGGTTGTTGTTAATCCTTATCTGAGGATATTTTTTCCATTGCTTTTCAGAGAGAGTGGAAGGGAGGGGACGGGGAGAAAGGAAAACATCAATGTGAGAGAGACACATTGATTGGTTGCCTCCCACATGCGCCCAACTGAGGGCAAGGAGCAAACCTACAACTCAGGTATGTGCCCTTGACCCTTCAGTGCAGGGGCCAAGGCTCTAACCATGCTCAGGGCCCGTACCAAACTTTTGATTTACTGTAGCCTTGTAGTAAGTTTTGAAATAGAGAAATGTGAGGCTCAAGATTGTTTTGGCTCTTTGGGGTCCCTTGCAATTCCCTTTCTATATTTTTTTACTATGGAAACTTAAAAACTACATGGAAGTAGAGAGACTAATACACCTCCAAAATTACCAACATTTTGCCAATCTTGTTTCGTCTCTTATTCTCACTTTTTAAAGAATATTTCGAGCAAATCCTTGACATTGTCATTTCCCTCATAAAATCTTTATAGTCCCCCTGAACCCTCCCTTTGTTCCAGGCCATCAGTTTTACAAAGAAACAATATTATTTATATAATGTCCACATCCTGATTAGACTTACTGTTTCAGCTTGTAAACTCATAATTAGAACTCCAGAGGCTTGCTTAGAATCTGGTTCATTTTACTGGGCAAGAATACTTCATAGGTGGTACTATTGTATCCTGTTGTAACACATATTTTAGCAATGTCAAGATTGAGTAGTGGTTCCAGGGTTATCAGGCTGATTTCATCCATGAACAATTCCCCAGTCTGACTTTCATGTAATGGTTTTAGCATTCATTATGATTATTGCTAAGATATATACTTCATTTGGAATTACAAAACAGTGATTTTTCTAATTGTGTAGTTTCTTCTGCATTTATTAGTTAGAAATCTCTTTTAAAGAACTGTTTGGTGATCCTGAAATACAGGCTGTACAGGAAAGAAAAGTTAAATGCTTAATTTTTTTTTCCCCCTTTACATATAATTTTGCAGTGTAATGAATTGCTTCTCCAGCATCCTCCAATAGCAAAGAGTGTTTGGGGTTTTTTTGTTTGTTTTTTTGCACATCATTATCAGCTCCTGACTTTATATATGTAGTGCTTTTTCACCTGGCCCAGTCATTCTCATTGGTGCTCAAGCGCTCCATTTTTATGACAGAAGGACCCACGTCATGTTGGTTTCTGCATCCTTTGACATGGCTCCATTGATCTTGGATAGTTACTACTTTCTGTAATACCAAGATTTCTCAGGCTCATTTTGCATGTTATTCCATTAATCCTGAAAATGACCATTTTTCCAAGAGCCCCTATTTCTTTTAATGGGAATGGTACTTAGGGACCCCAGTCTGTGTGCTAGCAGGAACGTTGCTCCTGGCTTGAATTGCTTTCGACTTCTATTGGACAGAGCTGGGATGTACTTTAGGGGGGGAAATCACAGATGCCAAGAAAATTTTAAAAATTAAAATTAGAGGACTTTTGCTTGTTGTATGCTTGATCTCCTTTACTTCAATAAGAAGAGCTTTATCTTGAAGATCAAACTTTCAGCCCAAAACTAATGCTTGCATAAAGAATAATGAAATGCTGATACAGGCCATACATGGATGCACCTTCTAAACATTAAGCTAAGTGAAAGAAGCCAGTCACAAAAGGTCACGTGTTGTGTGATTCCATTTGTATGAAATATCCAGAGTAGATAAATCCATAGAGATAGAAAGTAGATTGGTGTGATAGAAAATAGAGGTTGGGGGTAGGAAAACGGGGAGTAATTGCTTAATGGTTACAGGATTATATTTGGGTTTGATAAAAATGTTTTGAAACAAGATAGGGTGGTTACACAGCATTGTGAATGTAAACTGAATTGTACTCTTTTTAAAATGGTTAAATTTGTGATACGAATTTCACCTCAAAGAAAAACCATAAATGTTTGTCTAGTCTCAAATAAATGCCTATTGGTAATGTTTCATACATATATTCAAGAAAGAAAATTTTTATTATTGGCAAACCAAGTTACCTATAGCTGTGAATTATTTTGCTGAATCCTGCTCTTCTTTCTTCCCATCCCCCAGCCAACATGCAATTAGAAAACCTTTAAAATACTACATTCTCAGAAAGTATATTTTTTCTGCCTTTTGTATTTAGGTCATAGTGCTAGTGCATGACTGCTACGAAAATATTTTTGGTGGTTGTTATTTTTTTAAATATGTATTTATTGATTTTAGAGAGGAAGGGAGAGAGAATTGTCAAAGTGAGAGAGAAACATGGACCTGTTGCCTCCCGTATGCACCCCAACGGGATCGAACCCAAAACCTAGGTATGTGCCCTGACTGGGAATCAAACCGATGACCTTTTAGTGCACAGGCAACACTCAGTCAACTGAGTCACACTGGCCTGGGCTAAGAATATATTTTATCCCTATAATAAAAGCTAAATGATTAATTTCTTTATATGACTAAAGAAATTTTGAGAGATCACTACAAATTGTTAAGAGTTATTAAATAAGATCTCATTAACATGATTATATTTTTAAAAACTAAAGGGGGAAACAGTACATTTTCTTTCCTGAAAAGGTTTTTAAAATAGTATTTCACCTATTATTTATTTTTACATGGCAATTCAATATAGCACAGGGCTCCTTATGGTCCATGAAGACTTGATTCCTACTTACCCTTCAGTAATCCCAACATCAAGATTCTTTGGAAAAGCTCCAAAGTGTCCAGACTTTCAGGAGAGAATCAAAATTTTAAATTCAGTCTTGATGAATCTCAAATGCTATCTTAATAAAGATCTTTTTTGTTTATACTCAAAAGTCAGAGTTAGATATTTTGCTTGATGCTAGTTGGATTTATTTCATGTCGTAATAATTTGCTAGGGCTGCCATAGACCCGCCCTGGCCAGTGTGGCTCGGTCATCCACGTGCACTGAGAGATTGCCAGTTTGATTCTCAGTCAGGGCACATGCTGGGGTTTCAGGCTTCATCCTTGGTAGGGGACCATGCAGGAGGCAGCCAATCCATGTTGTGTTCTCACATTGATGTTTCTCTCTCTCCCTATCCCTTTCTCTCTCTCTAAAATCAATCAATAAATAAATAATGTTTAAAGTACCATAGGCTGGGTGATGTAGACAACAAATTTATTTTGCATGGTCCTAGGGTAGACATTCAAGATCATGGTGTCAGCAGCATTGGTTTCTTCTGAGATGGCCTTCTCCCTGTGTCTTCACATTGTCTTCCCCCTGTTTGTGTCTGTGACCTAATCCCCTCTTTTTTTTTTTTTTTAATATACTTTTATTGATTTTAGAGAGGAGAGGAGAGGGAGAAAGAGATAGAAACATCAGTGATGAGAGAGAATCATTGATCAGCTGCCTCCTGCACACCCCACACTGGGGATGGAGCCCGCAGTCAGGCATGTGTCCTGACCGGGAATCGAACAGTGATCTGGTTCATAGGTCAAGCTCAACCACTGAGCCATTCCACCTGAACCCTAATCCCCTCTTATAAGGCTAGCAGTCACATGATTAGAGCCCATCCTAATAAATCCTATTTTGCTTTAATTACCTTTTTAAAGACCCTGTCTCCATGCTCACTTTGGCAGTACGTATACTGAAATTGGAACGATAGCATGGTCCCTGTGCAAGGATGACATGCAAATTTGTGAAGCATTCCATATTTAAAATGCTTCCTGAACAGGAGGGGGGCGGAAAAAACACCCGTCTCCAAATACAGTCACATTCTGAAGTTCTGGGTGTAAGGACTTCCACATAAGAATTTTGGAGGAACACACTTCAGTGCATAACCTACCTTTTTTTTTCTTTCATAGGTCAATTTGCTGAGAATGAAACTAATGAAGTCAATTTTAGAGAGATCCCTTCACACGTGCTATCAAAAGTGTGCATGTATTTTACTTACAAGGTTCGCTACACTAACAGCTCCACGGAAATTCCTGAATTCCCAATTGCACCTGAAATTGCACTGGAACTGCTGATGGCTGCGAACTTCCTAGATTGTTAAATAAAATAAATTATAATAAACTGTTAACTTTTTTCAGTATTTAATACCTGTAGTTCAGTTAGTAATTTTTTCATATATAGCATGTTGCCTGTGTGCGATTGAACTTTAAAGTTCATTGCAAAGCAGACTATCGTCTCTTCTTTTGCATAGCACAGTTGAAATTTGTTTGCTACATCAACAGATTAAGGACATTTTCACAAATTGAGAAATAAACAAATATGTCAGTTGCTAAGTAGTTTTGCCTTACCCTTTGGATGTGATTTTTAAAATTAGAGTGGTGGCAATATAGTAAATGCTGAAATTTAGTCATAAATGAACATATTCTACAGGTAAATATTGGGCTATGTATTTTTGTTTTCAGTGTGTGTTTTTTTTAACCTATTCTGATCTTATAGCCATCATTACCATTAGAATTATGCAAATAATTGCATTATAAACATGTTTATAACTTAGCCAAATGTTGATTTTTTTTATAATTGTCAAAGACATGAGTTGAAATTTCTTATGTGTCTTTTGATAAACTGCAGTATTGTTTAAGTGTATCTTGTCTTTTTGTTCATTGCTACAATTTAAAAACTTTATTTAAAAGCAGTTTGACAGATTACTTGGTACGGCTGTTGGAACAGTGACCTTTTGAACTGTAGCCACATGGTCAATAAGTAAAGTACATGACCTTGATTTCATGTGTACTGTGCATTTTGGCCAATCCAAAGTACTGTATTTTCGACTATAAAGCTTCCTTTGCAATATTCATTCTTCTTACATAGTCCCTTGTTGTGATTATACTTCTGGTTATTTAAATGTTTTAAAAGACTCACTATGAACTTTACTCACATCTTAAAAGCTAGACTTTTCTGAACAATTCCAGTCTTCCTGCATCCAACTGAAATGTTATAAAATGTGACAAACGTGGACAGACATAGTGCAAATCTTATAATGCACTTTGATACAATATATGAATTATCTTGTGTCCCAATAAATATGCCCATCATCTGTGGGTCTTCTACTGATATCTAACTTATAAAGAGATCATTCAACTTTTATACCAAGCAGACAAAAAAATTTCAAAAGCTATGACAGAGTATCTCTGCTGAGGCCTGGGAAAAGAGAACTGTAGTTTGGTTTATTATTTCTATCTTAGTAAATCAAGGCTATCATTAGGGTTTTTAAGTTTTCATCTTAGTTCTTCAAGACTGGTTTAATATGGACCAGTTTTTATGGAAACTGCAAAAATCATAACCAAGATCTAGAAATGATTTTCCTCTTAGAAAACTTAACATTATACTTTCCAGCTTATTGAAAGCAGTTAAATATATATGTTAATTCCATATATTTAGTAACTTCCTAAGATATTCTGGTACATATTTCAGTATAGAAGATTATCAAGTACAAGAATTATATTCTGCTACTTGAGACAAATAATGTCAATTATAAGCCTAAATAATAAAAGGTTAAGGTGATAGCTAGAATCAAGTTTTACCTTGACCGATTTTAGTAGGTTACTTTTTATGTTAGATCCACAAGTAACCTTAAGTCAAAATATTGAAAAAGAACTGAAAGATTAGGAGAACATGTATATCTTGTGGCAAATGGTACTTTCATGTTAATAAAGGCTCTGTTGACTGAAAGGTTTGATGAACACTTGGTGTTTGATCTTTTTAGCCTTAATTTTCTCTTCTTGAGGATTCATGAAACTATTTGCTTCAGGACATCTTATGATTGAACAGCAGGGATTTTTATTTGGTTAAATTTAAGAAGTTAATTTTATATAGCATGGAAACTTTACCAGCTTTCTGACACTTGGTAATTAGTTTACTTTTTTAATTATGTTTAAATTATGTGCAAGTTCCTCTATATCTTTTTTATGCACAAATATTCCCACAAAATCCTCTGTTTTATTCAGTTAACATTTAATTTTTGTACTATCTAGATTATTTTATGCTTTCTAGATTGCTTGTCTTTTATGTAATTATTGACAGATAACAGTTTCCTTTTGAAGAATCTTGTTGATAGTGAGAAATACAATTTACTATAAGCAGCAAATTCAGCTCGTTACAAGAGAGAAATATTTAGAGACATCTTGCTATGCATGGACCTGTCATCTTAGTGAGTCATTTTGCTAAGTTTATCAATTATTCTTTCAAAACAGTATAAATATTCTGAGAAATAATATGAAATTGCTGTTAAAGATTGAAGAGTGATTAAATTAATCCCTAGTAATTCTTACTTATGTAGAGGAAATTTCATACAGACTTAGCGGTGCCAAATTGAGGTTTTGATTGGTTATGCCTAAATTTGATAAAGCATGATCTGGAAATTAATACATGCCATTGATTTTATATATATATGGTATTTTATTTGCAATATATAAATCTGGTTTAATTTTAAGTCAGTCATGTTTGTGCTCAGTTTTATATTCCTGTTGGGCTAAACTCTTGAATATTGTACTTAATGGTTTGTTGGTTTAAACATTGTTTTGCCCTGAAGTATTTTGGTATATTAGAGCACCAACTGAGAGTTTGAAAGTCTGAAATCTTGTGCAAATTAGCCATGTGATCTTGAATAAGTCACTAGGCCTTAATTTCACATCTAGAAAATAAGGAAGCTGCACATCTCTAGGGTGATGTTTACCACTTTTTTTAAATATATATTATTGATTTCAGAGAGGAAGGAAGAGGAATATTAATGATGAGATAGAATCATTGATTGGCTGCCTCCTGCACACCCCACACTGGGGATCAAGTCTGCAACCCGGGCATGTACCCTGACCAGGAATGAAACCATGACCTCCTGGTTCATAGGTCAACACTCAACTGCTGAGCCATGCTGGCTGGCCAGACACCACTTTTTTTAAAGTATTTTTTAAAATACATTTTTATTGATATTTTACAGAGAGGAAGGGAGAGGGATAGAGAGTTAGAAACATCGATGAGAGAGAAACATCGATCAGCTGCCTCCTGCACACCCCCTACTGGGGATGTGCCCACAACCAAGGTACATGCCCTTGACTGGAATCAAACCTGGGACCCTTCAGTCTGCAGGTCAAGGCTCTATCCACTGAGCCAAACCAGTTAGACCAACAACACTTCTTTTTATAAGCAAACAAGATTGCAACATTACAGATCATTAGATCAGAATAAATTAGAGAAAATGGTTTTCTTTTTGCATCTCTTAAATAATTATATAAATTTAACTGCTGCGTTTGATTAGGCATTAGCTATTACACATCAGTACTAAATATATTAACTAGATTAATTTAGGATTCTTGTAGTTTTCTATTGCCTGCCATATAAAGAAAATCCAGTTTTAGCTCTGGTTATCAATAATCCTATATAATAAAAGCCTGATACGCAAATTGACTGAACGGTGGACTGACTGGCAGAATGACTGGTGGCTGTGACACACACTGACCACGCTCAACGCAGGAGCTGCCCGCAGGCCCCAGGCCAGCCAAGGTGGGTGCCAGTGGGGGGGGGGGGGCGATCGCCCCACTGGTTGCCCTGCAGAGGGAGGCAACTGGCATGGGGGGGGGTGGGGCCGGCAAGTGGGTGGGGCCAGGCTGGCCTAGGTGGGTGCCACTGGGGCCCCCACCAGTCTCCCCACAGATCAGCCTTGATCTGTGCATGAATTTCATTAACCAGGCCTCTAGTTGTTGATATAAAAGGAAATTGTGCTGTTTTCATACCAGTATATGCAATGCCAGGTCAACCCAAAACTCATTTTTCATTCATACTCTAATTAACTTACCCTGAATTAGGTACATATGTAAAATCTTTAATTCATGTATCTAGCTGAAAACAAAAGACTTTTTTGTAATGTCCTGTGGAATATTCCATTTCCTTCCTCCACATTCCCTGGTTGGTACCCCCAATCCAAGTTGTTTTTAATTGGAAAATTCTAAGTTGCTTTGGCATAGAACTTACAGTCTTAATCATCAAGTTCTTTAAATCTTGTGTTTGTTACTTCTTCCATAGGACATAACTGGATCAGAATCAGATTTTCCCCTCTTTATAGTACTAGATGTTTTCAGTAATTTGTAATAGAAAATGTTTTATTACATTTACCCAGATACATGTATGTGCTGACCTTTATCTGTGATAGGATCTATTGCTTCATTCTTTAGAGAAGCATGTATAAGATGACAGCTCAGGATAAGAAAAATTTTAATTTCATGACTTTTGTTCAACCAGAATTGTTCAAAATCTTAGAGTTGCCTTTTACATCAGGAAATAAGGCTGGTGATTAATTCTGCCTGTGCATAACAACGGGCTTAGATCCACTGTTAAAATTTTTTTAAATTTCCACTGGTTAATGTAACTTCGTGGCCTCAGCTCTTTAGGAAAAGGTTGTCATTGGAGAGTACCTTGATTAAGGATGGGGATATTTTAGCTCAGCTTCCCAGAGGCCTCGGCTCCATTTTAGATTGCTCCCTTGACAATACCAACTCCATTTTTCTATTTTTCTTTCACATTTCCCCCTTTTTAAAAAAATATATATTTCAGAGAGGAAGGGAGAGAAAGGTAGAAACATCAATGATGAGAGAGCCATTGACTGGCTGCCTCCTTCATGCCCCACATTAGGGATCGAGCCCCCAACCCGGGCATGTGCCCTGACTGGGAATTGAACCGTGATTTCCTGGTTCATACGTCGACGCTCAACCACTGAGCCATGCAGGTTGGGCATTACATTTTCCCCTTTCTATCCAGATCTTAGAAAGCATGGACCAGCCATTAGGAAGTATAATTGGTCTGTCATTGAAAAGCAACATTGATCCCTCATCTCCAGGAGGGCTCATTTCCAGTATGTCATATCCCACGTAGGAGGTAAGTGGTCTCCCGAGTGTACAAGAGCATATGGCCACAGTTGAGCAACAAGGGGGCTTGGAAACAAGCCTAAATCATATTTCTCACATTTAAAGTTCTTTGGTAGAGGTGGTCTCAGATTTATTTATTGTAACATCTCTAGGCAATGGACTAGCATTATTCTGGTAATAGCTATTAGTGATTGTTCGATGCACCTGGTAAGACATCTGATTAGGCCCTAACCGGTTTGGCTCAGTGGATAGAGAGTCAGCGTGCGGACTCAAGGGCCCCAGGTTCAATTCCGGTCAAGAGCATGTACCTTGGTTGCAGGCACATCTCCAGTAGGGTGTGTGCAGGAGGCAGCTGATCGATGTTTCTCTCTTATCGATGTTTCTAACTCTCTATACCTCTCCTCTCCCTTCCTCTCTGTAAAAAAATCAATAAAATATATATTTTTTAAAAAGACACCTGATTAATGTGGCAAACAGTATAATCAAACACCAATATAATGAAGGGCTTATAATAGAGAACGAAGCCAGCTCCCTATTCCTGCAGGCAGCCAGCTAAATAAGTCTGTCCAAACCCAATTTAGGGGCTAATGTTCTGTCCAAGGATTGTAATATTTTATTTCAGAACCTCAAACTTTTGTATCACTTTACCTGATTTGTTGACATAGAAACAACATTGCTCTTCCAATAGGGCACAAGTACCACCTTGCTGGGCGGACCCCAAGTTTTTGTAAAGCTATCTCAGGCAGGCAGTCAAGAGCAGTGGCAGTAACGTTCCATGATTGTCTTCCAAGAATAGATTTCTGGTCGACATTTCTAATTCAACTATATCATGCCAAAGAAAGAAAACTAGGGAAGACATGCCCAAAGCCTTGCTTATCTATTATGCGATTTGGGGTGGAAAGGACTAAAAAGACAATATTCAAAACTCCAATTTTGTTTGGTTTAT